TGTGGAGCAAGCATCTTAGAAGATCCAGCACAAGTACCACGCCTTCTGGGTAGCTTCCCGATCTACACTCCCTAAGCATTGCTGTGTTTTTCTTTTGTCACTTGTATTTTCTTCCCTACTAGACTCTAAGTTTCATGTCAGGAAAGATGGTAGTTTCTCAATCATTCCTATGCAATCTGTACCCATTGCTTAATATTACCTATGATGCACATATTTGTTCATTGACTTGCCTCAGTACATAGTTGTGTGGTCAAGGGAAAGAAAAAGTATGTACAAGAGGAAATATTGTATAAGCTGTTTTCTGAATCTGCAGGGCAAACTGCTTGAGGCATTGACTAGAAAATTGGGCCACGATCCTTCTATATTTGGGAAAATGTCTCACCAGAGACACAATGGGAAAAAGTATATATTATGTGTAGCATAATATTAAAAACCTATATGGAATCCTGATACTGTAATGTTTATTCCTTGAAGCATATTTTTGTTTAATATCTTACATAAGAAAATAGAGCCAGCACTAAAAGGGGTTTCTCCATCTTCTAAAACATACCAAAAGCAAAAACAAGAAATTCTGTGCCAAAAATGTTTTTCTTAAATTTTGAAGTAAACTGAGAAAACATATTATTTGTGATTATCATGAAATTTAACATTCACACATTCAGCTTTTGATACAATGTACCATAATTTATGTATCTGGCAGGTCTATGTTGGTATCAAATTATAAAAATGAAAAACAAAATTGTATGTGGTGAAAATAGTTAATTTAAATAAAAATTTTTGGCAGTTCCCCTATTTTTGAAATTTGTTCCTCAAGCTCTTCATAATCTCACTTATCTACATTTAAAAGAAAGCCGAACACTGGTGTCTTGTTCTTTATTTTATTACTATGAAAACTAGAACCCAAAAGCCAAAGAATTGTGCCAAAATTAAGCAATATCTGAGCAAAGTGTGAAACTTTTAAAAATTTCACTAATAAAGCATTCAAATTTCTTATGTCTGTTTACATAATTTTCTCACTTATTTTTAAAAATATGTTTCAATTCATTTCAGAGAGAGGAAGGGAGAGGGAGAGAGATATAGAAACATCAATGATGAGAGAGAATCATCAATTGGCTGTCTCCTGCATACCCCTACTGGGAATTGAGTCCGAAACTCGGGCATGTGCCCTAACTGGAAATTGAACCATGACCTCCTGATTCATGGGTCAACACTCAACTACTGAGCCACACCAACCAGGCTTCTCACATTTTTATTACAAGAACTATACTTTTTAATAATTCCCCTTTAAAATTATATTTCTTATACCAGACTTATTCTGGTAATAAATACTTCTAGTTGTATTATAGTAGAAAATATTTTTGTTCTGATGCTTTTGCCTTAATAAAACTTATTTACTAAAAAGTAGAAATTATGCCAAGATAAAAATAACTAAAATATCATTTATGGGCTCACAATAATAATCTAAGAAAATGCTAAAATTTTAAAAATAATATTGCACTGATCAAATTTTGTAGTAGTAATGGCAACAAAAACTCTCAAACATTGCTGGCAGGAGTATAAATAGGTGCAACCACTTTGGAAAACTTGCAGTATCTACTCAAGCTAAAACCAAGCAGTATATATACTAAGCTACCCCTTGATCCAACAATTTTTGCTCAAAATATTTTTGGGCATGTTTTCAGAGGTCTCAATCTTCTTATGGCCAATTTTTGCTTAGAGAAAGACTTAGGCCCAACCCATACAGTCCCCAAAATGAATGTATTCACAAAAAGATATGTTCAAGGATGTTCATCGCAGCATTAGCCAAAACCTAAAAAATACTTAAATATTTCATAATAAAACAACAAATAAATTGTGATGTCTTCATATAATGGAATACCATATAGAAATGAGAATAAACAAGCCATTACTACATGCAGCTATATGGAAAATCACATAAACACAATGCTCATAAAAATAAAGCAGACACAAATGAGTATTTATATAAAGTTCAAAAGCAGGGAAAACATATTCATTGTTGAAAAAGTCAAGGTAGTGACTATCTTTTGGCAAAGCAGTTCCTGGGGAAGAATACTGTGGTGGCAGAGAGCAGGGTGAGGACTTCTGTTACACTGGCAATGCTACATCTTGATCACAATCTCTTTGCATGAGTGTGTTCCTTTTGTGAAACCTCATACGGAACTTGTCATTTGTATACTTTTCTGCATGTATGTTGTATCTCAATTAAAAAATTAAAAATCTTTTATAACCTATGAAAAAAGGTTTGTAATCATAAATTATCCTATATAATAAAAGGCTAATATGCCAATAGACCGAATGTTAGAACAACTGAACAACCGGTCACTGTGATGTGTGTTGACACCAGGGGGCGTGTACGGAACATGGTGGGATGGTGGAGCAGGTGAGTGGGAGCACCAGACCAAGGCGGGCTCTGGTTGCTTTCATCGGGGCAAGCCTCTGATAGTTATTGAAAATTCTTTGCTCCCGCACGCCGCAGTCCCACCCGCCTCTCGCACCCACTGCCAGCGCCTGCCCTGCTCGCACCCTCAGCCAACACCAGAGTCGAAGCTTGCACCCACTGCCCATGCCCAGCACCAGTCCCGATCACTCAGTGCCATCAGTGGGTGTGAATGGTGGCTGTAGGCCCTGTTCACCCCTGAGGGCTTCTCCACCTTCTCCTGCTCCTGAGGGGCGATTGGGGTAGCAGCCTCTGCTCACACCTGCTGCTGGTGCCGGCCCGAATCACTCTGTGCTGTCAGCGGGTTTGAGCGGGGCCAGTGCCATCAATGCATGGGAGCGGTGCCACCGGGAGCAGGGCTGCCTGCAGACAGCGAGGTGGGGGCACGGAGTATGGGCCAAGACCTGCCCCTGTGCCTACTGCAGCCTCTCAGCCCATAGTTCCTTTCAAGGTGCAAGAATTCATGCACTGGGCCCCTAGTATAATTATAAATATTGATGGTTTCTAGATATTTTTGCCTCCAAATCACCCTGGAAAGAATATTTTTAAATTTAAAAGATATCTTTGTGAATTAATACTAAATACTTTTGTTACTTTTTTAAGTTTACATGTTGTTTTTTTGCTCAGTATATCACAAATAGACTTAGTGAACAAAGAATAGTTTCCATAAACACATTTATTTTATAAAATATTTACAGTAGAGGGAGCTTCACTTTCTTTATTTTAGAAAATGTTCATTCAAGGGCCATCACTGAAAATAAAAAAGACTTAATATTTTGTATGTTATTAAAATTCTTCATAGAATGATGAAGGAAAATGAATAAAAAAGTGCTACTCTCATTCAAGACTAGTCTAAGATAGAGGGAAAACTTATTCAATTTATAAAAGGAGAAAAAAAAACTTGATGAAAAATACACATATCAATTAAACTTCTATATTGGGTATGTCTTTGTCAAGAAATTACATTTTTGGAGTATTCATAAAAACATTTCTAACTAAAAGTATTTAATATTAATGAAGATAAGTTCTTATAATCATGATTATGAGTTTGAAATACAATTTTTGTGAATTCCAATAAAATGACAGAAATCAGAGATTCTAGTGATGAAGAATACATAACTAAGGATGTATTATAACAAAACAAAAAAGGATATATTATAACAAATATTGTGAATTGCCATTATACAAATCTGACCACACTGACCAAAATACTTTAGTTACTGGCATTAAGCTTTCTAAATCTGAATATCTATTAACTAAGCTATTATGATTTCTTTTATAACATTAATTCCTTTCCATGAAATGTCCATAAATGTAAAAAAGCTCTATACTCTTTGCTTTGATCACTACATACAAAATTTGTGACAATTAGAAAGTTTAAAAATTTACTAAGTCTTATTAAAATATTTTCACTGAAAATATTCTGGTTTGCAGTGGTTCAACCCCTTAAGAAAAAATCAATAATTTTATAATATAATAACCTTCACAACTGGCCCCTATTATTATATGCTTATAAAATAATATAACTTTCTGTAAGGTAGCTTTTATGAAATATATTATGTTTTTCTAAGGTGTCCAAAGGTGAAGTTTTGATGTGGAAACTCAGAAAAGAATATTTACTACTTCCATAGAAATCAGTATACACAAAACTTATTCTAATTATTTTATTTCAATCTCTTGTAAAGCTTGTGAGCCATAAGATGGAAATTGTAATAAAATGAAATTTATATTGATGGTTCAAAAATCTATATGAGCAGTACCTTGCTTATACATTGTTCATTTAAAAATAGTGGTTAAATTATCTGATCTTTTGCCTAATCTCATTTCCTCTTTAAATTAATTAAAAAGAAAAAATGAGGCCTACAAATATGACTGGACATGATAAGAAAATGATATATCATAGAGCAATATTATTGTTCTATGGGTTTTTTTTTATTATAGTACTTTCTCCAAAAAGATTACTCTTGACATGTAACATATCTAATGATTTATTTATGTATTACCTGAACTAAGCTCATTAGAAATAGCACTTCTTCATTTATTTTTTATTCATTTACCTTAATCTCTGGATATATCAACAATGTTCAGAATTTTTCTGGTTAATAAATGTTTATGTTCTAATTGTTTTCCTTTTAAAAAGTTAGAAATGTTCCATTTCTAATTAGTAAATGTTTTTAACTCCCCAAAAGAGAGTAACCCACAACGTATACTTTACTTAGAAAAAGAATCTCTAATAGCAATTTGAGAACGAAAAGCTTGGCTTTGGAAATAACTTTTCCAGGGTAATCTCAGTTGCCTCTAATATAAGACGACAATTACTGAAATGCATTATTTTTATAAAATAGAGCAAAGTTACATGTTTTCAGAGGTCTCAATAGATAGAATGCTAGGTACTTTAGACATAAAATAATACGATTTAAGGGGTGCTCTCAACAAGTCAATTTCTAATTGCATTCTTGGTCTCATCAATAACAGGTGGTTGCATTCTAGTACACAGGCTTTTTAAATAAGTTCTCCAACTGTTAAATACAAATAGACTCACCTGAGTAACAGTGCTGCTTCCCAGAAATAAAATCCCGAAACTAATGTCCGAAAGTGTCTCACGTGGGCCATGATACGGAGAGATATTCACGATCCTGAAATTAGTCTTATCCAAGGCATGGGGGAACGAGAAAGCCTGGAATGAAAATATGCGATCTAACTCCGTGTAGTGGTGGAGACAAACGCTTGGAAAGCTTCAGCACCATAGACAGCTCCCCGCGGTCGGCGGAGGCCCTGTCTGCCTTTCAAACCTTTGAAATTCGCTTTCTACCCTTCTCTGAGCACTGAGCAGAGGGGCATTCAGGGGGTTACAAATGTGCAGGTGATTTACACAGTGAACGCGGAATAATGGGTGAGATGAAATGTATGAAGTGCCTAGGTTCTGGGCAACAGTTCACTGGAGCTCTAGCGGCAAAAGAAAGAACGCTTATCCTTTCCTGACTCAGACCCACGTTTGAAGAAAGAACAGCAGCCACAGCCGGAATGAAAATGCTTCTTCACCTGCTCCAAGCGCCGCCGGTCCTAATCCCACTCTCCACCTTTGGGTAAGACCCAAAACCGCTAGCGCGGCAAAGGGAAGCGGGGCGGGGCCAGACGACACTGTCTTGCCCGCAAATCACAACCGCACAGCGGGACAGAGTGACAGGCCACTCATGATGGTAGGCGGTGCTTAGCACTTCACCCTTTTTTAAAAAGCAGCGAGTAACTGATGCAGAGCCTAGAGGGCGACTGGAGTGTGTTGGGGGAAGGAAGCTTCAGGGCTAAGCCTGTGAGAATCAGGGGCTTTTGTGGGTTAGTTAGCAGAGTCGCTTTGGAGGGGCCATCCATTGTTCACTTCCGAGAAAAGGTACAATTTAGTAACTGTGACCCCATGTCTTTGACCTTACACGGAGATGTAAGAGTAAGCTTTAAGCCCATGGAAAGGGCTAAGGAAGAGCAGAGACTGTGGTGCATGGGCAGCAGCGGACAGGAGAACACACTGCTTCTAGAATCCTCTCATAATCCAGCTTCTGGCCAGGAAGCATTATTGACTAGAGTGAGTTGAGTTTCCTTCACTCACAATAAGGGTTCTAAAAAGATGAAGGCGGGAAATCTAAAGAGATGGCTACTTAGAGGCACAAGCTTCCCACCATTTCTTCTTACATATTTTCATTAACTTAACAGTAAGTTCAAGTAAGAAGGACAGCTAATTCATTTGTTATACCTCTTCTGTCATCCATCTCTCTATCTGCTCTCTCTCCCCACCCCCCTGCCATCTTGACCATTTACATGGGGATGTGGATTGGAAGACTGAAAAGGAAAATTGTGTGTGTGTGTGTGTGTGTGTGTGTGTGTGTATCTCAAAATAATGGAATATTAAAAAATTAAAATCTATTGTTAGATCTTGACAGTGGCTTTTATTACTATCAACAAGGATCAAAATGTTCACTCACCTCTTCAATCTTAACTTTTGCCCCAAACCCCTGCAAATATATTCTGAAAGCCCTATTTTAATCTCATAACTTTCTCAATAAATAAACTACATGCCTTTTTACTCTTTATCCATTTTCCTTTTAATTAGATTCCAACAGCAATTAACATATCAAGTATCCTGTAAATCTATTTAACTGGAAGAGTAGAAGTTATTACCTTTCAACCCTCTTCAATGAGGACAATGAAAAAAAAAAATCTCTTCTCTTTACTCTTTAGCAGACATCTTTTCACATCTTTGTTTTCTTATTTAAATCACAGACTTCCAGAAGCCCATAAGTAATATCATTGATTCTGCCCATGAATATTTGCATCTTGAGAAAGTTCATACAATTTTAGTTAACTCAGTTTTTCAGTGAGTCTTTTGAAAACTCATGAAATACAAATGCTTTTTAGTTGGCTATTCTTTGAATAGCATTAATTGTTTTAAAAAACACAGATAATAATAATAATAATAAAAGTGAAACTTACTCTATTTCAAGAAGGCTTAGATTCCTTGCCTTGTTTCACCACTAAGTAACTGGGCATTTTTGGAAAAGTGATCTTGCCGGACACCAATTCCAGCATGTCATAATTTCAAGAGTTTCATCAAAAGGTTGATGAAACTTGGGGACTCAACAAGTTTGAGTCACACCTGTTGGGAATGGCTAAAGGCATTTCCCCAAACCTGAATAGGAAACTGATTGTGGCTGCCAGACAGTTAAAGGGCATCTTAATCTACATGTTATTGCCTTCTACTGGCCAAACACCTGAACAGCCGTAGGCTAATTCCCCCATTCTGACAATGGACTCTGTACCAAACCCTGACCCTTTGAAGTGTATATCTCTGCCTTGCCTCAGGACAAGTTGTGTTAATAAAAAGCATGGGGTCCTGGGGACGGAGAGAACCTAAGACCTTAGACTTAAGATTTTGGATCTTAGCTCCTTTAGCTAAGCTCCCTCTGCCCCCAATGCCTTTCAAAATTATATTTCATCTCCGGACTCTTTATTAGTCTCTGGATTCCTATGTCATCTACGCACAGCCCCTTCTCCAGATTCCTGAACCCTTCTTGATGCTGGGACAAGAACCCCGGCAGATCTACTTTTAAAAATATTTTTACTTAGTATATCTTTAAAATAGATATTTATTGAGGGAATTGAATTAAATGACCTCTGAGATCCATCCTCTGGCCCAAAGAAGACAACCAATCAATGAATGTTTATTTAAGTAAACAAATGTATGGATGATATGATATTTAAAAGTCTATGTTTACATTTATCTGGATAGTTACTAGTAAGTTATATGATAACTTAGCAGGCAGGATGATTTTAGTAATTTCTCATTAAAATGAAAGCATAGAAATATTATACTTTATCAAGTTAAGATATATCTAGTCAATCAGTTTCTTAGATATAAATATAAAAAGGTAACTGGAATCCCCATGTTACTCATTTTTCAGAGCACCATGATTATTTTCTTCAAATTACTTGTGACAAGCTATCATCCTCCTTGTTTATTTGATTTCACTACAATGAGGATAATGGCCATTATTTAGCATAGCACCTACCGTGTAAGGTAGAAATGAAATTTCATGCATATGCATATTTGTGGTATCTATTCTTGTAAATTTTACTCTTTTGAGAATAATAGTCCTGATTGTACCAGTAGGTGAATGAATGTGTTTTGGGGGAAAAGACTATTCTATGGATGATGACTAACTGACTAGTTCATTCATGTCAAATTAAGCTGGATTCTGATATGACCAAATCTCTGCTCTTCTCTTTGTGTCCTTTATTATTTCTTTCTTGCACTATTGGATTATATTTCACATTTTACAAGATGTGGGACTTCAGGGCTGACTTGGATATTAATTTTCATCATATTTAATGCTCTCCTTTTACAGAAGAAGTTAATTGTAGCACAAAGCAGTTAAGTGATAATTACAACCCCTTGTATTCAGCAAGTTGAAGATATCAAACTTGACTTCGGTGCTTCCGAATTATTGTGTAGTATTATGTCCACTACCATAGAGCTATCTCTAATAGTATATTTCCACTATTGTCTCAAAAATATATACATATTCCCTGGCCGGGTAACTCAGTCGGTTACAGCATTGTCCCAATATGCCAAGGTGTTGTGAGTTGATCCCCAGTCAGGGCACATACTATAATCAGCATTAATAAGTGGAACAACAAATCTCTCTCGCCTCCCTCCATTCCTCTCTCTCTCTAAAGTCAATTTTAAAAATATGCATATTACCTAAACTAAAGAAAAGTAAATCAATTTCAATGTAATGATAAAGTTATTTTCATATGCTCAATTGTTACTATCAATGATCTTAAACATACAATATTTTGTATATATTGCTAAAATTACTTGCTATTTATAGAGGACTTATTTACTTGTTTGAGGTCAGTGCAATGTGGGGTTAGTAATAGTTTATTGAGAGTTGATTAGATTCAGTAGCATTGGGTCATTCTAGCCATCTTATCAAAAGCTTATGTATAAATCAAAATGCCAATTTGAAAACTTACAGACAGTAATGCAAATTTGCAGTAATTAAGAATATTAATATCTTTGAGTTAACACTCTGGAAGAGTAAAAGTTTTAATTTAGGAATTAATTAGAAACTCATTTGTTCAACATAAATCAGGTAGAGAAGAATTAATCCTATGTCAGTGAGAGATATTATCATTAGGTACATGAGCCTAGTGAATTTATATTTTGTATAGGACTTTACTTACTGAGCAGATTATAATGATCATGACATTAAGCTGATCAGGTGACCCTGTTTTTTAGGAATAGTGGTAGAAATATCCAATAGTTTATCCCCATTTCCTTGTTTGGGGTACAACATTTCTCACATGGATCTCAGCAGCAGCCTCCTGTTGTTTCTCCTGCTTGCTTTCTTATTCCTTTTGATTAATCCTCCATTGTGAATATCAAGGGTTTTTTTTGTTTATTTTAATAAATCAGATGATGCCACTCCTTTTTAAATTAAATTTGTTAGAGTGACATTAGTTAACAAGAAGGTTTCAAGTGTAAATATTTATGGTACATCATCTGTATATTGCATTGTGTGCCAACCACCCAAAGTCAAATCATCTTCCGCCACCATACATTTGACCCCTTTATCCTTTACTATCCTCCACTACCTTCCCTCTGGTAACTACCATACTGTTGTCTGTGTTTATGAGTTTTTGTTTATCTTATTTATTCATTTATTGCTTTTAGTTTTATATCCTACATATGAGTGAAATCATATGGTCTTTAACTTTTTCTGTCTAACTTATTTCCCTTAGCATTCATGATGTCACAAATGGCAGTATTTGATCTTTTCTGGTGACTGAGTGGTATTCCACGGTATACATGTACATCTTCTTTATCCAATCATCTATCCAAGGAAAAGATGCTCAACTTCACTAGATATTAGGGAAATACAAATCAAAACTACACTGATATAGCCATAACTGGTTTGGCTCAGTGGATAGAGCATTGGCCTGCAGACTGAAGGGTCCCAGGTTTGATTCCAGTCAAGGGCATGTACTTTGGTTGTGGGCACATCTCCACTAGGGGGTGTGCAGGAGGCACCTGATCGATGTTTCTCTCTCATCGATGTTTCTAACTCTCTATTTCTCTCCCTTTCTCTCTGTAAAAAATCAATAAAATATATTTAAAAAAAAAAGGCATAATATGTAGTGATATGCAATATGTAGTGATGCTGCCATTTATCTGAGAAGGCAAGAGGAGGGTACAAATATATACTCATATTTGGTTATAGTTTTGAAAATCAGAGTATAAGTCATAAAACCTTTTAAATGTAGAGGGTGCCACTTCTATTCCGGAAACCCTTCAGTGCCTTTCCATTGCAACAGATTAAAATTCACATTCCTCTTCAGAGTGGAGAAGACTCTGATTTTCCATTGACAATCTCCTCAGCCTCATTGTTGACTAGTCCCTCTTTTCCCACTATGTTCCAGTCACATGAGCTGTTTCTTAATTCATTATTTCTCTGATCTTCCTCTTGGGCTTCCTATGTCTAAATTCCTTCCTGCATTACAAATATCTCTCTTTTCCTCCCTTTCTTTTTTTCTTC